AATTTTTCTTCTCATTTAATTGTCTGTGACATACAGACCACTAGAATGCAATCTCTGTGGAATCCATAGCCCTACAACAGGTATTCAACAAAAATTTGTGTAGTGGCTGGATAAATGTCCTTGATTTTCCATGTAGGCTCTGGAGAAGAAAATTAACACTGTTCTCAAAGTGTCAGGTCCAGTTGAAGGGACAGAGGTTTTAGACAGCCTCTATCCATCCACCTCAGATTGTCAGGACAACCTGACAGACCACTCCACTGTAGCAAATCCTTTGCCTGGGGGCAGTGTCCCCACCAGAGGTCTCAGTAGAACACAGGTCATGCATTTCCACACTGTGCGGCTGGGAAAACTCCCTCCCAGCTTTGCCAAGGGCACCATCACCAATAGTGCCATCTTGCTCATCTGAAGAACCCACAATCCACAGCCTCTGCTAACAAGGACAGAAGAATGCGAAGATAGTACTGGCCCCATGTGCCAGTGATAACATATTTTCTATAAAATGCCTGCTGAGTCTCAGTTTACCCTACATCTAATTTCATAGCTCACAGAGGAGTAAACAGAAATTAGAAATGAGGATGAATCAAAGAAGAGACAGGGAAATTGTAAGAAGTCACAACAATGCATATAGGAATCTAGGCCCTGGGGTAGTTGTGGAAGAGGCCTGACAACATGTTCCAAGCGATCCAAAGAAAGTTAACACTCTGTTCACAATAATCTATAAAAAGGAAGACTTATTTCAAAAATGGCTAAAATTTTAAAAGATCCAGAACTGAGGTTATAGTTCAGTTACCTGGAAAACTTACTGATATGAAGCTGAACAAATGAGGCCTAAAGATATTCCTTCAGACTTCTGCTAAGATCCTTGGGGAATCAGCAGTATTTTCGAATGACCATAAAAAGCTCAGGTCCATCATGGCCAGCACCACTAGGGTCTCATCTCTGCTCAGCACCCATGAGGCAATATTCTAAGCTCTGAGCGGTGCACTCAACATGCCAGTTAGAACCTGAGCTCCAAGGCTGTCTCATATATGTTTAGAATGACTTAAGCACACATACTTTGCTACTACTACTTTCTCTTTCAAAGACAGTAGCTTGTGACTGATGGCGAAAACCCAGACTGGCAGGCCCCTTTCATCACCAGAGGCCTAAGCCTGCCGGGAGAGAAGTTGAAGCCAAGGCAAGGCAGAAGCTACACTGAAAAAGAACAGCTCACCACTGGCACAGGGAAGAGCAGGGTGACAGCTTTTGTGTTATTTTAGAACAGTTTGTGCTGTTGAGCTTTTTGTTGTGGTAACATTCCTCTAAAAAGAACATTTTTTTCCTCCCCTCATTGACAAAGCAACTCAGCAGAAAGTGAAAAAAGGAGGAGCGGGTGACAAGGATATCCAGGAATTTGTGGATCTTGGATCACATCACCTTCTTAACTGGTATAACACCCATCCCCCAGTCCTGTGGCCAGGACCCCAGAGAGAGATCAAGAAACCTCTAGTCCTCATTTGCATCCAGGAACATGGTTCTATTCCCAGCATGAACAAATAAAATCTGGGTCCTTTGAGGGTGAGTGCCACTTCAAGATGTGACCAAAACTTTCATCATGGCTGTTGTTCTTGCTCAAGAACCTGCAATTGCCAAGTTCCACAAGTACACATCTCTCAGTCTCGTCACCTGGGCCACACTTTCCTTTCCAGATTTTTGTCCTGCAGTCTTCCACCATAGTCACTCCATCCAACCAAACCCACCCACCACATTCTAGTCAGAGCTCCCCCACATCTGTATTCACACTGGCTCCCTACTTACTGCTCAGGTGACCCCACTCGGTCCACTCCACCCAAATGTCTGCCTCTGTTCCAGGAAGTCTATTTTTCTCCTCTTAAAAATTCCTTAGACATTACTCAGTTCAACTTAATGCAAGCATCCCCTCTGCTAACCAATGAATGGAGTGCTGTATTCTACTCGCCCGTCTTCTGTTCACAGGGAGTTGACTATGTCAAGGAAGCTTCTCCTGTGATAAGATGGCACTGTTAGGCGATTTTTTATTCTAGAAGAATATGTCTATATTTTACTTTTCCTATATTGGTCCTGGTCTTGCCTTTAGTTTAAAAGAAACAATATAGCAGTACTTAACAGCATGAGCTTTGAAATCAGAACTGCACTCATGTCCAGTGTGTCCTTGAACAGAACGCCTCACCTTCCCAAGGCTCCAGTCCTTGACAATAATACCAACTTCAAAAGGCTGTTACAAAAGGTAAAAGAGTAACTACACAAAGAGCTTAACACCATGCCTGGCATAGAATAAGAATTCAATAAAGGATTCAATGCAATTCCAATCAAAATTGCACCAGCATACTTCTCAAAACTAGAACAAACTATCCCAAAATTTGTATGGAACCACAAAAGACCCCGAATAGCCAAAGGAATACTGAAAAATAAAACCAAAACGGGAGGTATCACCATCCCAGACTTTAACCTCTACTACAAAGCTGTCATCATCAAGACAGTATGGTATTGGCACAAAAACAGACACATAGATCAATGGAACAGAATTGAGAACTCAGAAGTGGACCCAAAAGTATACAGCCAACTGATCTTTGACAAAGCAGGAAAGAATATCCAATGGAAAAAAGACAGCCTTTT